GATGCCCCAGCACAGCTCACCCTGCAGCTGTCCCTGTGGCACCCCTGGGGGGCAAAAGGCGAGCGGGGCCATCGCGTGTGGGTGTCGGGGCCAAGAGGTGCTGGTGTGTGAGCAGGCACTGCAGAAGGCTCTGGGGGGCTGCCAAGTAAGAAATTTGGCAGCACCTGAAGGACAATGGTTTGCAGTAACAATGGAGGCTCCTTAGCCCAGGAAGCAGTGCTGGCTGCTGACCCGGCCAGGGAAAATCTGTCTCCGCGTTGGCGAACGTGGCTTTTGGGAGGCAGGGATTTCTTTGGTGCTTCCAGGGGTTGGTGGAGGGGACCCCCACGACCACAACCCCTCTGCCACTGCTAGCACATCTGGCTGCACCACAGTGTGCCCTCCTTCCTGCCCCTGCCCTGGCTCTGTCTGGCTGAGGTGGATGCAGGTGGCCCCAACCGGAGGGGGCACAAGGTCCCCAAAGCCTCTGCTGGGAGACACAGTGTGGCTGTGACCACCAGCAAAGCCCGTGCTCTGGCCCTGGAGTGGCTGCTGGCAGTGGCACTGCAGGTGTGGTGCTGTTGGGAGGGCCGATATGTGGCCATGGGAACAGCAGGAGCTGCTGGGTGCCCGTCACACTGACATTGGCTGCAGGACCACCGGCATGCCCAGGGAAGCGCCGTGGCCTCTGCTGTGGCTGGGGTGGGTCCACATTGTGGTGCCAGGGCAGCTTTCCTGACGGCCAAGGCTGGCAGCTGGAGCAGCACAGCTGGATTGACCTGGACGGAGCACGGAGATCACGCACAGATCACCAGGTCTAACCCAGAGCAGGGTGTATGTGCCTGTGCCACAGGGAGCCACCAGCCACTGCCAGCTGCCTCAGTCACTGCCTTCAACAGCTCTCTAATTAGACAGCTCCTAATGAAGTGCTCTTCAAAAGAGGCTGTATTAGGTAAACGTTAAGAGAAACCACCCTGTTTTCCACTTGGATTTAGGAAAGCAGCTTTGAGAGCCTGCAGCACCCCTCGTACCTGGGAAGTGCCACCTCATCCTGCAGATGCTGCCTTCTCCTGTTTATCAACAGAAATGGATTCCCCCTCTCACATCAGGAACAGCAGCCACAGTCACAGCTGTGAATTCATGGGATCGCTGCTTTGTCCGTCGGACACTCTGGGCTGGGATGCGCTCTCCTAAAGGGCCATCAGGACTCAGAGCTGACTCCTGGCTGTTCATGGCCATGACAATAGAAAATACTTTGTGTCTCAGGTGTGAAATTTCCAGTGTCTTCTGCTTTGAAAATTAATTTAACTAAGCAGCATATTACTGCCTCTAATGTTACTTATCTTTAACTAAGATCCAGGGTAACCTCAGCCACCTAATGTCAGTTTTTCAAAGGTTAGCATGGAGCACTTTAAATTCACTAGATCCCTGTCTTAACAAGAGTAAAGGGACTCCACTTCCTTTCTTTAAGAGACAGCTAGAAATATTTTTTAATTCCAACAATTCCTCCAGCGTGGTGATCTAAAAAGCAATTCTGTAATACAGAAAGGGAATTTGAAGACATGCTGAGTTTCTGAATGATTTTGTCAAAAGGTTTCCCTAAGTTCAATTACTGATTGCTTTTGGAGGAGTCTGTTTATGTGGAATTTTGCAATTTTGCATGTTTAGAAGGAAAGTGACTTGGTGGGCATTCCTTCTGAAATGTGACCTTCAGCTTTCCAGGACCATTTTTAACCCCACCATTTGTTGTCAGTGCAGGTCACCCAGTCCAAGCCCAGTCCCAGGGCTGTGGGAGTGACTCCTGGTGCTCCACAAATATGCAGAAATAATTGCTTTGGTTGCTTTCTTAGCGAGTATTTTTACTGTTAATCTCATTTTGACAGAATATTTGTGGGGAGTAAACACAGTGGAGGCCCAAATATAACAAACCTATAGGTGGGAGATGATCTTCTCCAGCTCCAGCCCTGGCCTGGGGCTGGATGCACCAGCTGGAGCTCCTGCCTCCCCAGATGTCACAGGTTCACTGCTGGCATTGTCCTGGTACGGTACATGAGCGAGATTTGGGAGGCAGCAGAGCAGGGACAGTGCAAACAGCCACCAGCAACCACCACAGGGAATCCAACCAAAACTAAGGGACGTGCTCCCAAAGGCTCTGCTGTTTGCTAGGCAAATTCTGCCAGGATAAACCTTTGTTTAAAAAGTACTCATTCTGTAGGAAGGTGGCAGAGACAGTTTGCAGAGGGAGGTGGCAGTGACTCCTTGCTGCTGACAGACACTGGCACAGTGCACACCGAACGCTCAGGTTGGGCTGAGCCCACCTTGGGAACAAGGGACTTTCCAAATCCACTGAGTGACCAGGACTTGTACCCTGGTACCCGATAACCTTTAGCTGCAAACAAAAAATAAGCAACTTTTACATGAGGATAGTGTGTTTTAGCAAGCTGCAGAGCTGTTTTGGGCTACCAGGTGAAGGGAAACCTTTCCTTCCTGCATAGGAAGGACTTCTGTGACCAACAGACAGCAGTTTACCTTTTGGAGCCCCACCAATAAGCATGACAGAAGACAACTACTGATCAATAATATCCTTAGGGATAAATATCAGGCTGGAAGGACTATGTGAGTTAAAGGTTAACATGAACCTGTTAATGGGGATTAATTAGTCAGGAGTCAATGCAGGTTGGAAATTAGAAGACAGTTAATAGCAACGGGAGGATGAAATTCTGGAGCACCCTGTGATTGCAGAGGTGGTTTGAGAAGCCTGTGGAAGGATTGCACAAGTGAGCAGAAATTCCTGAAGAGAGAAAATGGCTTTTTGTTGTGAGTCCTGAGGGATTTGGTGGGCTGCTGTAGTTGGAAAGAAAAGGATTGCTGGTTTTTCCCCTGCTAGGGTTATCTGTGGGAGTAAGAAAAAATTCCTGTTGGTAGATCATCTAACTTGTGGGGCTTAGGTTGTTATTTTTTCCATGGAGAACAGCTGTGTAAAGGGTGATTTTTCTAACCTGTGGCTGAAGGAGGTGCTGGGACATCTGCTCAGTGCCTGGTGACACCACTGTCATCCTGCTCACTGCCCCAGCATACAGGGATTCACACCTGCCAAGGGATGGCTAAACACACTGGGAATGATGTGTGGACACCTAGAAGAGCCCCAAAAAATGACATATTCACCTTCTTTCTGCAACACAGAAGATAAAATCACAGGTTGATATTTCATTCGTTAAAGAACGTGTATTTGCCTAATAGACAAAATTCCACGTGGCACTACAGAGGAGACAAGACAGCATAAACTTTCCAGCTCTCCCATTTGTTTATGCCTTGGTCCCCTGAGAGCAACCTCAGGGCTGGTTAAATGACTGTTTCTGCCCATTCTGCCACAGCCATAGCACTTTGTGGCCTCTCCCTGCACTCTCCAGGTCCTCGTCCTCACTTGCTGTTACACAGTACAGGCCCAGAACAGTTAAAGCATGTTTAGTATCACACCAGGATGCTCTAGAAAGAGCCTCTTCACCCATTTTAAAGTAATTATGAAGGACAAGTTTCACTCAGTCCCAAAATAGCCTGGCATCAAATTCTCAGCTGAAATAAACTGCTGTCTGGCCATTGCCTTGGGCACAAACCGACCAGGACAGAGCAGCAGCACATCTGATCCCAAGTGTGAGCTGTGAATGTGGCAGAGGAGCTTGGCCATAAAATTGGTGGTGACTGACTAATTTATTTTATTTCATTTCATTTAATCTATGTTATTTCATCTTATTTTACTGTTTTATTTTACTTTAGAAACAGCAGTGAATTCTGAGATTAGTGGAGCCTTTCAGAATATCCAGGTCAAGGTAGTTAATTATTTAAACCAAAGACAGAGCTTTCCTCCAAGTCCTTTTGCTACCCTGTAGGTTAGTGGTGAAAAATAACCTCTAGCTGAAGGCTGGGAAAGCAGGAGATGAGGACACATGATTTAGTGCTGTGGATGTCCTGGACAAGAACAACCTGTTCCTTCTGTGCCTGCACAGTACCGGGCACCAGGACCCCCATATGGGGAAATATGAGTAAACATTATTAGCAAAACCAGAGTATTCCTTGTAATGAAACACTGTGATTTTATAGTTCTGACCATGACAGATCCCACAAGGCCACTGCTTGATTTTTGCAAAGCCCCAGCCTGTTGCCTGCACTGCACCCCCAGAGAAGCTCTTTTATATTTGTCCTTCATGTGAAAATGAAACTCCTCGACCTTGGTGGCTTCCTATAGACCTGTTTTTCTCAAATTCTGCTTTTTTCTTTCTCTCATGCAATTTTCATCAGTAAGAATGAGCCTTTTGGATCAATTGAACTGCTCAGTTTTTCTAGCAAAGGGATTCTTTCCTGTTTTCTTTGGTGTCTCTCCCTTTACTTCAATGGAAATTATATAAATTGACCACAAGCAGGGATGGTATTCCCCACTCCTCTTTCCTCCAATGGATTTTTCAGAGTTGAGGATAAAAAGTAGTGTCAGTTCACAAACAATTTGACCTGCCTATGGACTTGTGTGTTTTGGCTTTCAGTTCTTCCTTTCAGTGACCCCTTTTATGGGGGAAAACCTCCACCTATGTACATTAGGTGAATATTGTGTGAGGTCAGCTTCCAGGATAAAAAACCCTTCTGGTTATTGAGTTAAGCCCTCTCTTTGAGGCACCACTGGTATGCCAGTGTGCTCAGTGTCCCATCAGCAGGGTAACTGGGCTGTGGGACATGGTTTTGCAGCAGGCATTGGAGCAGGCAGAGCAGCCAACCCTGGAGCAGCCCCAGCTCTCCTGACCAGGCTCCTGCTGGAGAACAACACAGGGAAAGTTGTGGAACTGGAAGCTGAAGGGCTGTGAGTGGGGGAGGCAAAGCAGGTTAAATCTGCAGCATCAGAGGTGAGGAATCACAGAATCACAGGATGGTTTGGGTTGGAAGGGACCTCAAAGCTCAGCCAGTTCCATCTCCTGTGGTGGCCAGGGACACCTTCCACCAGCCCAGGTTGCTCCAAGCCCCGTCCAACCTGGCCTTGGACACTTCCAGGGATGGGGCAGCCACAGCTTCTCTGGGCATCCTGTGCCAGGGCCTCCCACCCACTGAGTAAGGAGAGGGTAATAAGGACTTGGAAAATGCAAGTACAAGTTGTAAACATCCCTAGGACTGCAACTGTCATGTTCTCTATGGCAGGAAGGGACAAGCAAAGGGAAGGGAAACACTCCCCACTTCCCACTTCTCAGTACATGAAGAGACCAAGGGGTTTCTGGAGAAAAGGCTCCCGAATTATCACAGGTCTGGTGATGGCTAACGATGTTCCAGTGTGTCCTGGGTTGCTAATCAGCTGCATCATCTAATTGCTCCTCTAATTTTGAGGAGCCATAGTAGTTCAAGGAGAAGGGAGTGCAGGGACAAGAGGCTTTACAGAGGAAACTGTGGGATTAAAGGATGGAGATGAAACATGTCCAGGTAAGTAATTACCATTAATAGTTAAAAATGTTATCAGCTGGTGACAGAGCAAGAAGGTGGGTACAGGTAGTAGCTGGGTCTCCTGCTGTTTCTGAAGGACTAAAGAGGGGTGAGGATGAAGATCCTGTAAAAGGAAGGGAGAGTCCATGAAAAAGTGCAGAGGAAGCAGTGTCAGCAAGGGCAATTGCAGCTGGGGGTGGGCAAGGAGAGGCACAGGGGCACTGCCTCTTTTACCTTTTCAAAGCAAATCCAAGGGTTTACATCTTCCATTGTGCCTCAAGAATTTTTCCTGGATAATACTTCCACAACTTTCTAAATGTCTTTGCCATTTTAATCACATTTTTAAGGTCAAACCAAGCAACAAGTGAACAGCATCAGGCTCCTTGAAGTCAAGCACATGAATGCTGTAAATGACAAAGCTAAGTGAGATAAATGCTGTAAATGACAAAGCTAAGAGAATGACAGAGGATGACTACGACAACAAGTTGAAATGTCAGGATTACCACGCGTGATGGTACAACACAAAGTGGGGTTTCTATTCATTTAGTTAAAGCCAACTGGTTTTTTCACATATTCTCTGAAAATCTTTTGTCTGCTCGCAGTGCTGCTCTCAAGCTGACCCCTGTTGACTAAGGCATCTTTTACTGAATAGGTTTGTACCCAAAAAAGCCCACTCCTTTTCCTTCAGTGAAGAAAATAGCATGAATCATGTTTTTCCAAGGTTAATTTTTTTTTTAATTTCTTTAGGCAGGAAGAGAATGCTTCTCACTACTGCTACAGTTGTCTGAAATAAACTACTGGCTACTCAGCAGGTCAAAGGATGCCTGTGAGTAGCATTCAATCAAATGAGGGGATACAGGCCTAAATATCACCCATGTCACGAAATAATGAAGGTATTTCCTAGCACAAAAAATCCTTCTCAATACCACTAGAGGTAACAGAAAAGCGCATCTGACACTGAAGATTCATTCCCAAGTCCTGAGATCCGCATGTTGCTGTAGCAAAACCTCATCTCCTGAATTCCTAATAAAGACAAAGCTTTTTCCAGAAAAAAAAAAAAAGGTATAATACATGAAGAATGATAAAGCTGATAGAAGAACTGATGATAGAAGAATGATAATTAGAACTCCTCAGGTTTAAAGGCTGTGCCAACGTCTTGCATTATATCCATATGATATGGATTTAGATGGCAGTGTCTGTGCTGTGAACTGGAGGCAAGGCCAGACATCCCTGGTATTGACAGGAGTGCCTGTGCTCATGACTGGACTTGGATCATCCACAGCAGGGAACAGGCAGTCTGCAAAACTGAGAGTGGCAAATGTATTGCCACTACTGGAACAGGAGGAATAAGAAGCTGGGAAATACCTTTACTCACTTTGCAAGCCTGAATTTGGAGCGAACTGTCACTGGAATCATGGAGTAAATCAGGCTATGCTGATCAGGTTTTGATCTAACATGTGATTTTATATCAGCAAACATATTGGTACTAGTGGGAATGATGTCCCATGTCCACTGGTGTTTCAGTGTATCAGAGCAGGCTCCAGTGCCCCATCCTCTGAGAGACAGGTATCTATTTGTGGCTGCCACCAACACCCAAAGCAGGTGCACAGAGGAAAGCACTAAAATTCCCAGGAGAACTACTAGGGAAAGAAAATCTCATTTTCTGATTTCTATTTACAGCCTGAAATAGGCTGTCTGCTGGGAGCAGCAGTTCTTTGGGAAAACAGTGATTATGAGGACTATGGTTGTGTTTACTTCCCGACAGTGTTGCAGCAAACTACGTGTACTCAGGGTATTTTTAGCTGAAGATTCTGCCTGGCAGAACCTCACTGGAATTAATCACACGTAGCAAATTAAACAAAAGCAAAAAAGCTGGTGGGCTTAGGGGCACCTGCAGCAGGTGAGCATTTTATTGCACTTTCTAAGCAAACTTCCCCAAATTGCAGGGAATGGGAAGGGTAAAGGCAAAGGGCAGAGGTGGATTTTGTAACCAGGATCAAAGAACCTACATATTTATCTGCAGTTTGTAGACTGAATCTGTCTATATTCGTGTTATAGTCAGAATTAAAGCTCTTCTGCAGTGAAACTGTGGAAGTTGGTCCACCAACACATCAGCTGTCCTCTGACAAGTCCTGTGCAGGTGATGAGCTGCTGTGTGCCCCTGCTCCTGTCCCAGGGAGGAAGGTGCTGCAGGAAGGGCCTTGGATTTGAAGCCGTGTGAGGACACTGAGGGCACTTGGTGTGTTCAGCTGGAGCAGAGGAGACTGAGGGGAGACCTCCCTGCAGTTCCAACTGCCTGGGCAGGGGCAGAGGAGGGGCAGGACTGAGCTCTGCTCTGGGGGGACCAGGGACAGCCCCCAGGGAATGGCTGGAGCTGTGTCAGGGCAGGCTCAGGGTGGATCTCAGGGAAAGGTTCTTCCCCCAGAGGGTGGTTGGCACTGAACAGGCTCCCCAGGGCAGTGGGCACAGCCCCAAGGCTGCCAGAGCTGCAGGAGGGTTTGGATGATCCTCTGGGGCACAGGGGATGGTCAGTGCAGGGCTGAGTGTTGGACTCAATCCTTGTGGGTCCCTTCCAACCCAGCATATCCTGTGATTCTGTAAAGCACCCAGTGGTGAGCAGGACATTCACCAGCTGTGGACTGGCATTGCCATCCACAGACATTTCAAGCAGTCCTGAATCTAATGTGGATTTGCAGCATGGGAGGAAAGGTATAAGGGGCAGGAACTCAAAGTGGTTTGGGCACAGCTCAGATGGATGCAGATACCCTCACTCTGTATCCTTGTGGGCTGGTGAAATGGCTCCTGAACATCACCTTCTGCAGCACATCCTTCTGTTTTTGAAGAGGTTGCCTAGAACATTCTTGCAGAAATACACCTTGTTTCCACTGTTGCCTTTGGTGGACATGGAAGTGTATCAGTCCCAGTAACTTTTTCTCCAAACCCTCAGAAATAGTAAAATTAATCTCTGGCCAATGATTAGCGTTAAGTTATAAGGAGTTAGCTCAGCCCAGAACTAAGCCCAGAACTTACAATAGAATTATGGCAATTAGCATCTGTGGGAAGGAACACATCCCTGCTTTAAATGAAAACTATTCTGCCATTAGCTCAAAGTAGCTTGTAAAAGCTTTCACTATGACTAAGATCTGCAGCAATGTTGGAGATCATTCACCCAAAGATTGTGCTGTAATGCCTATTTATGGCTTTAGCATTTTAAGGTTTTTGTGAAGTAAAGAAGTAGAGATGAAGTGGACTCCCTCGCATCTGCTATGCCTTGGGAAGACAGCATGTGCCTGCTCAGGAATTAAACTAGGAATTGCATATTGAACCAAGAATACACGTGTAAGCAGTTAAGGAGATCTGAATGCTGCACTCACATCCACCACTCCACAGGCATAAACAGAGCATGCTACACTCACTCTCTGTCTTGAGCAGAAGACAACACTGCTGGCGTCCCACTGCAGCATTCCAGAGCCTCTCACAGGGCGGCTGCCTACATCCCAGGAGTGGGGAAGGAGAGACAAAAGGTGGTTTTAGGTGAGAGATGTCCAAAATGTGTTTTGTATTCTTCCAAGAGGGAAGGAAATCAGTGATTGTTTTATTACTGTGGACTGAGAGGTGGGCTGGTGGAGATGCAGCTTACACAAGGCTCCACAACCCAAAGATGCACTGAGTTCAGACCCAGGTGTCTTTTCTGGGAAGATGCAAAAAGGATTACAGTGGTAATATCCTTCCTCAGGCAGGTTTTGTTTTTTGTTTGTTTGTTTGTTTTTTCTGGCAAGAGAGATCTTTTCTCATAAATAACTGCTCTTCCTTACGAGCCAGCCATTGTCAGTGTCCAGAGAGGACACAAAATAGATCCTATCTGCCCAAAACAGCTCACAGACATCAACTATCATTTTGTTTTCTTTACTGGGTAAAAGGAGGAAAATGGCTTTGAAATTAGATGTTGAACCCCTTCCAGAATTGCAATATAAGATATCAAATCAATCATTCTTCACACAGATACCTCCTACTCTACAAGCTCCTACTACCACAAGAGTTGGTTGTTGCCAACTGAGCTGAGTGAATAATTTGCAGTTTCGTATTTGTTAGAGGAATTTTTCCTTTTCCTCTTTTCATTATTTGTCCACAAGCAGATTGATTTCCTTTTAACATTTCTTTTCCAGACACACGTGTTGTAATCACTCTGCACGTAACTCCTGCTGTAAATCATTTGTGAGCAATTTGTTGGGAGAAGTCTTCAAACATTTGTCCCAGTTCCATTCCCTGTGTATATGAACTTGCATCACGTGTCTGTTTCTGTGAACAAAACATCAAAAGAGCCGATTTTGAGTATTCTCCCTGAGAACAATCCTGCCTCTGAACACAGAAAATTCATGTAGAAATCACATTTCACTGAACGTTGTTTAAGACTTGGGGACACACACTCACGGAGATGCCTGCAGCTCACATGCATCTGTAAATTTCCATTCTAACTAGAAGATCAGCTTTTCCAACCCTACAGAGAACATTTTTTTGTTACCACTTCACAACTCAAGTCTGCTCCTCGCCAGAGCTTTTGTCTCATCCCGTCATTACAATTTCTGTCTCATAAAACATCCCTTGTGAGAGATGAGGCTTTCAGTGGCAGATAAAGTGGTTGGGTTCCAAATTATGACTGAAATGATGCACAATTTCACCATTTAAAAATTACCTCATTCCCAGAAATATTGGCAGGATTCTCCTGGTTATTGTTAGACTTGAATGAAAAACAAGGGTGTATCAAAACCCAAGCTGAAGAGCCCGACCTGGGCCGTGCTGGAGTCAGTGCAAAGCTCTCATTTCTCCATTTTTTTAGATGGAGGAAACTGCCCTTCTCAGACTGTAAAAGACTGTCTTTTAAGCTGAAAGTTTAAAAGAATGATTGCACTGTTCAGCAGGACCTGGGGTTGTTACCATGTGCCCTCCAACAAAGAAAAGCATTAGAGTGACTCTGACAACTTGGAAAAGGAGGTAAAATCATCTCAGGCACCAAGTGCTGTCATACTCCAGAGTTTGAATTTCAAACCCAAGTCTCATAGTTGAAATGTTTGCTTTGAAGGCGTTTGTAAAATACAGGCCTTGCCTCTGGGTGGTGTGCAGGGGAAATTCTCTGCTGGTATTTCAGCTACTGTAAATGGCTGCTGCAGCTGCCAGCCCAGAACTCTGTGATGGTTGTAGGCAAATGGAAGTGAAAAAGTCACGAAATTCATGGGTGATGATGTTTGTGACCATAACTGGGGCACGGATAGGCATCTCTTCCATTGTCTCTTGCTGTCCACTATGAAAACAGGAAAACCTTGAAAAACAAAAGAAGAAATCCACATAGAAATACTGAGGACTGCCAGGTAGAACCCAACCGACATTTTTTAAAATACGGATTTTGCAAAAGGAAGTTTTATTTTGCTCTCTAACTTCTTCTGAAATGATTTTTAAACCTGCCAGTGCAGAAGAGACTTTGGTGCACGGTGTTCACGTCCTTAACCAGCACCATCTGAGCCGAACTGAAATGTTAACCCTCAGTGCTCACAAACAGCTCCTCGGATAACGCGGTTTGTGCGAGAAACAAGTTGTTGATGTTGAGCATCAAAGTTCCCTGAACCCAACTTTCAAACAAGCAGTTCGAGGCTTGTTCCCCAGCCTGGATGCTGGACCCAGCCCAGCCACAGGAGCTCCAGCAGGAGTCACAGCTGCCTTCCCAGCACCCACGGAACCCAGACGAGCCGTGAGAGCACTGGCTGGAGCACCGAGTAAAATCGCTGTGAGACATTCAAATGAGATAATTATATCGTGTTAATTTGCATCTCATTTTGGTGATGTAGTTGCACGATGCCAATACAGTAACTGGAAATGAACACAGCGCAGCTCGTGCCCTGTCATGTCACACTGCTGGCCTTTCAGAGCCAGGAGTTCTGAACACTGTGCTCATAAATCAACGCCTTCAAGACAAGAAAATTATTATGAAGCTGAGCAACAATAATTCACACTTAGAAAAGCTCCATTCTTTTTCTTCCACCTGGAGCAGAACAGGGAGCCCTTAGATGGTTTTCTTGTATGCTGAAGTGAAATTTTACTCTCTGGCAACAGCAAATAAATCCATGTTTCTGTTGAGTTACTTGAGCAGCGTGGTGGTGTGTCCATGCTCTGGAAAGGCCTGTGTAAATGGCTGCTGCTCTAGGAATATCCACACTCCAGGAAGGCCTGTCCATGCTCCTCAGAGCAGGCAATAATGCAATGTGCGAGTTTAAAGGCCGATGCCCTGCTTTGGAGCAGTGGCACAGCAATTCCTACACCAAGTGATGTGTACAGTGTTCCCCTCCCTGCTAGATATAGATCTCAAACATAATAGAATCTTTTAGTTAGTTATATTTATAGTTTACGCTGAATCACATAAAATATGACTAACTCAGAGGCACAGCAAATTTCTTTGTACTTTTCATCATTTGCTGGTATTTTTTTCCAAATGCCTACATGATGGGACTTTACATTTGGTACAGTGATACCAATGGGGTTTAGGACACAGCAATGGGGATGTGCTGGCATAAAACAAATCCAAAAACTTTAGTATTTGTAAGAAGATAGATAGATTCTTGCCATTCATTTCCTGTAATTACTATAGAAACCTACAATACTATACATGAGAAAGGAAGGTTGCTATACCAAAAAAACCCAAACGCTAACCTTGCCTGTTTTCAAATCTGCATATTCAAGTCCACTGACATCACCGAAAGGGCAGCATTCCAAAATATAAATCACTTGAGCTCCAGAAGTCAGGTTGCCACCCCGAGCAGCCCGAAACCGCGGCGCAGGTTTGAATAGCAGCGCTCTGTGCAGATCCACACCCGGCCACCTACAGCAGAATGAAATATTTGTTCAACTCCACCACGCTGTGCTCTGCTCCACTGGTGTGAAATGGCACAAAATGAGGTACACCATGTACTCTTATTCTAGAGAGCAGGTATAATCTCTGTAATTATACCGCAACTGCACGGCAAATGCCGTGTAAATACAGAGCGGCGGCGTGTTCCTACAGCTTACTTGTTAATTATGCCGCGCCACTAACGAGTTCAAAGATAAATTATCATAGCACTTGCAGGCTTTAGGTTCTTGCTAAGCTGGGCCATAATGGAATTCACACTATTAAAGGCTTGCTTTTGTTGACTTTCCAGTGGGATGGGGAATGGGAACGACTCACCCCTCATGCCCAAAGGTTTAAGTGCATATTCTGCCCTGGTACAGCAGAGGCAGATACCGTACAAAGTAACATGGCACAATTAGGAAACCTGGGGGAATAAACCAAAAAAAAAAAAAATTTCTGTTAATAAATCACTTTTCAAATTCCATTTAGTAATCCTCCTAAGCAAATATTGTGTTTAGAATCACTGTTATTGCATGCAACAGAACTGATACGGGTTTCCTGGCCCAATATTTAATCTTGCACAGGCTAAAAACATTTATCATTCCACCAGTGTCACCAGCAAAACTGTTGACTGCAGTGAGGGCAGGGCTCCACCCAGGCAGCTTGCCTGGAAATGGGCTCTTGAAATAGCTTATTTTATATATCAGAAATAGATCACTATGTCAGGCCAGTTCAAAGCCTGTGCTAGCTCTCCTCTGAGCTGCAGAATTTTGGACCACAACTTGTAACTTTTAATAGGTATTTTATTAGAATTCAATAAAATTAAATTAGCCTCTCTATAAACATTGCTCTTCCCCAGAGTCAAGCTCCTCTTTAAGTTATGACTCTGCAGTGGTTGTTTGGTTGGCCATTTATTCTGACTTTTACAACCTGTGTTGGATCACCTTGGGTTTTATTTAAATTTTTTTGTTTTTCAATTTCAATTATTTTCATATTGATTTTCTACCTGAAAGGTGATGTTGATGTTTCTGACCCTTTTTTTTTTTTTTTTTTGTACTGAAGTTGTTGAGCTATTTCTCCTGAAAAAATGCCCAGTGTCTATTGCAAGGAAGATGTTGGTCTTCAGGGATTGCAGAATCAGTCCAAGCAGAGACAAAACAGCCACCTATTATTTTCTGTAGCTTACAGAAAGCTGAAGTATGGAATAAAAACCCACTGAAATTGGCTGTGCATAAATGTGGATGAAAAGAGCAACCCCAGGGCAGGGCAGTGACAGCTGGGGACGAACCAGACCGACAGACAGGCGGGAGGAGGTGGAAGCAAAGAGCCCGCGGCGTTGGTGGTGCTCACGGTAACACCGTACCTGTGCACAGGAAAACAAGGATACACTCACAGGAGATTCAGGAGATAGCTGTGTGGGTGAAATGACTTCTTGGCTACAGAGGAAACTTTGGAATTATTGCCCCTGGGAGGGACAAGCAATTTCCTGGTGAAAGAGATGGGTAGGGCATGTGGGTCAAGGAGGGCACTGGGAAAGCAAAGAGCAGTAACTTACCTGAAATGACAGAAAAGCAGGAAACAAAAGGAGGTGGAAGAGATTACTAACGATAAAAGCCATAAACCAAATAAAATTATTTGACTTTATTATCCTAACAGCATTGGTCAAGCCCAGAAAGCAGGAATGTTATGGATGTGAGCCATAAGATCATCAGAGCCTGGTTCAAAGCTTTAGTTCTCAGTTAGGATAGAAAAGGACATATTTGAAATGTGCCATTTCTGCCATGGAGAAATAAGTGACAAATTTAAATCCAGTCAGTCCAGGCTGACCCATAGTGTGACCTCTGCTGAAGTCGAGACAGCAGATGGGCATGACAAAAAAATCAGTGATCATACTGTTCATAGAAAGCGGGAAATAAACTGATGGCATGAGTTTGAAAGACCCTAAACCCCCCTGGTTTAGGACACTCATCTTGAACACTTTCACGGAGAAATGCCATGAGATTCTTGTTTGGATAGAAGTCTGTCCAGGAACGTTTGTGGTAGAGGTTCCTTAATGACCACGTGTGGAGGTAACAGGGAAAGACAGGCAGAGAAAGGATGAGGATGATGTTCCAGTCTGTTTTGAAAGAGCAAAGAGAAAGGGCAGAGTGTGACATACAAAGTCAAGACTGCATTCCAGCAGGAGGATACCTAGCAATGCTCAGGGCAGAGTTTAAGGTTAAGGAGGAGAGGAAGGGAAGGGACAAGAACTGGCTTAGGGGAGCCAAGCAGGAGCCAGAATGGCATCAGGCCACTGTAGCTGTGTGTGACATGCTGGAGTATTTTATTATTCAGTGTGCTCTTAACTGCAAGGGTAACACTGGCAACAATTCCTAAACTGAAGATCCTTGGATCTTTAGTGGGAAAGTAACTTCAGATACTTGAGATACTTGAGAAAGTAACTTCAGATACAGAATGGTGGTTGGGTTTAATGGGTTTATGTTTGTGTAACATACACTGACTTTCAAGAAAAGGGAGCTGACATTTCCAGCACTGGGAACCATGCAGTCCAGGTGAGGCTCCTTAGCCCAGCTGCAGCAGCTGATGGGATCCTTTGAAGATGGAATCCTGGTTCACATGGAATCACCTTGTTTTCTTTCACTCATTTCACTCCCTCCTCAATCTACCTTGGATCCTGAAGAACTGTTTGTAAGTACTCCTAGAAAACAGACACCTGCCAAAGACAAAGTGAATGCAAATGATCTTTCTTCACTTCCAGGGTCTGATCTCATTCTTCCTGAAATCTGCAGTGATTCCTGCTGTCTTTGGTGGTACCAGGCCTGGCTCGACCAGCCCACGTGTAAGCTGGAAATTCCCCTAATGAAAAAGGCCTAAGTGTACTGAATGGGGGAGATACTCATTAATAACTATTTAGGAGAACATGGTTCCCTTGAAAGGCTAATTATCTTGAGAGCTACCCATTCAAAAAAAAGTCTAATCAATGGGAGAACAAATTAAAAATGAAGAATCTCTCATAAAACCAGACAGAGGGAATACTGCATTCAAGAGGACATTCACCAATTAAAAGAAATGTCAACAACTCAAGTGGCAGGAACTTCAAAAGGGAATTTTTTCCCTCATTTTCATATGCATTCTTCATGAGCAACATCAAGAAGTGTAACATGCTAATAGCTAATAACACTCAGGATAAGATTCACTAATTTACTAACTGAATAACTTAATGCATATCAAAGGAATGATTTTCTCATTTCATTCTTTTTTTAGATCTAACACTAAGCGGGGTATTATCAAGTAGATAAAACTGCACAGATTACAAGTCATCACTGAAACAGTCATTTTAGAATTAAGATTGCTTTCTTCCATTGGATGTCTCCTTTGGGTTTAAGGAATCACGTATCTCTTACCCTCGTTATAACTCAGATTTAAAAAAAAAGAAATCAGGAAGGTATCTTGGTGGAAATGTGATGTTTTTCTAAAAACAAAGTGTTTTGCAGAGACACACTTGTTGTGATGTTAAACTCCAAAAATGTCCCAGGTAAGCCAGTTCCACGGTGGCTGGGAGGTGACCTGAGGTTCAGGACACAGGATCCTGAGCTGAAGCAGGGAAGGGATGTGGATGACTGGTGTGCCCTGGCTGTCCTGGCCTGGGGAACTCTCCCTCCTGTTCCTGTGAATGGTGAGAAGTTGGTGTGATGTCAATGAAGAACAAAAGACAAAAATGTTCAATTTTTTTTTTTTTTTAAATTATGAAAGAACTTCTGTATACTCCAAAACAATGGACAGGGTGTTGACATTTAGAACCACTTCTTGTTTAGTGTGATTCTTAAAAGCCTATTTACAGAATTCTACTAAATTTAAACAATGTTTTGCCCTTGCTGCTACTGCAAGCTATGTAAGCCCACTACCCTCTGATCAAACCCTTTAAGAACAGGTCACCAGCTAAGGTACTAAACACAACTAAATTAACAGTTCTCACACTAGTAAACAGGAAGGAAACACCTTCTCAGCTGGCTTGTTCTCTCACAGCAAACTCCTCGCCAACAGGGCACGCCACTGCAGCGTGAGCCACACTCCTATCACTTCCCTCTCCTCACAGCCCCACCACAAACATGATGTGTCGTGATGGTGATGCCCCTTTAACGGGGAAGGCCAGGCTGTTGGAACCAATGGCTTTGTGGCAGATGGAGCAACATGTGCAATTGGGAAAAAAACAATCTCGTGCTGCCAAAATATTAATAAGGGGCTTTCTCGGAAATATTCTGCCGCTGTCACTGTTACGTTTGAATTTGCCATGTAAATATGACTTCTTCCAAGGAGAAAGGCTTTGGATCAGCAGGCTTTCTGAGGACAGGGACCTCTCTGCACCTATTTTTTTCTCTCCTGCCAAGCCATTTGCTTCCAGTCACAAATTTTCAGTGCTGCAGCACCATGTGGGTGCTACTTGTGGTGCCTCTGATGAGAGACAGGAGCGAGCAGGACTGGTGTGGGCAGGCTGGGCCACGATCCCCACTCACCTGAGGAGAAATCCATAGTGAAATCCAACAGGGAATGGTTTCTTTGGGCTTGTTTGGGGCTTTCTGCACACTGTATCTCCCTCCCTCTGTGATTGCCCGTGTTCCTTACACAGTGAGAAAAACAATGAGAATTTCCTCTTCTTCTTTCAGACCACCAGTATTTTCCATAGCCTTATAAATGTCTTTTATTAATTTTCTTTTAAAAACAAACACTCATAATCCTTTCAAATTGTGCATCTATACAACATCAGAGCATTTCAGTGGATTTTTCAGTCCATTTATATGCCAGCTGCCTGGCAGTCAGCAGTGTGGTGGTGGTACTGCAAGCAGTAAAGATGTCCCACATCTCTGCAGTTCTCCTTGTGGTAATTACTGATTCCTGGGGAAACTGAGCCTCTAACACCAAAAAAACTTCCTGTGATGTCCCACTGTTTTGCAGAGGGCACTGGGACCAGTGTGCTTTAAAGAGACAGCCATTGTCCCTCCACTGAGGAGGAGCTTAGACTTGGTTTTGACTTCACACTTTTCTATACATTGTGAAAAAAAGCTGAATAATTCTATTTTCCTTTAGGATATTACAAGAGAAAGAACTGGTCTGATACATTTTGGATTAAAGATTCTTCCCTGAAAACAGGACCTGTTGCCTTGTGGTACCACAGCAGAAATAATCTTCTTTTCCCCAATACTGTTAGCTGGGCCAATATATTTTCCAGAATTGCTGAACTGAATGGAGAGTTCTCCAACACGGTGCATCTGGGAATTCAGATTACCCTCCCTCTGTCAGTACTGGAATTAAGAAATTGTGAAGGAAATCTGCATCTTAGAGATATTATAATGCCTGTTCTGAAATGGAGAAATATCACACGTCTGTGTTTGCATTCTCCAGCCTGAGACATACCTTTAGGAAGTCAGTTTCTGACGACATGTTTGGGCAAACGATGCCTTATCTGCATGCTTTCTTCATGTATCGTCCTGATCTGGGAACCTGGATGCCATAACCAGAAAGCTATGTTAATTGTACAGGTTTTTAAGTCAGTGTAGCCCAAAACATGTTCCTCAAGACTATCAGCCAGACGAAGTCTGCTCAAGAAGCTGGAGATGTTCTGCATCTGTTGGAGGAATCACATAAAATGTCTGTAATAAGAACTTCCAACAAAGATCATCTTGGCCTGACAGGTATTACGTATTTCTGTTTCCTAAAAATAAACCCCACCAAGTGTATGAACTGGTACTGTAAACACAAGCACAAGTAAAAGAGTTCTACTGTTGCTGGACTCCTCCTCCCCCTCGATTTGGGCAGTCAGCAAAAACACTTTTTCAGTATCCAGTTACAGTAAAGAATTGTTGACCCTGGTGTAACTGAGAGAAAAGACAAAGTCAAGTCAATGGGGTTTGCTTCAGCTTGTGACATTTCAAATAAAGCTTCTAAATTTGTTTGGATCATTAAAGTGAAAGCGTAGAGAAAACATGTGTTACAAAAATACAAGCTTCATCCTAAAGTATTTTTTATGGAAATGCTCACAGTTAGTTAGTGTTATTTGCTTCTAATCTGGGCTTCATTCTCCATACTCTACGTTAACAAACCTAGACCACTTAATGCCAAGTGCCTTACACATTTCTCTTCAGTTAAATTTCTCCAAAGAATCACATTACATGAGCATTTGCCAGTACAAAAAGCACACTCAGAGATCCTGGGTAAAATCCAGGCTCTCTGGCAGTAACCAGTAAAATTCTCTTTGAGGACTGGGTTCTACCCTACAGATCTTTGCTACATATGGGTAATAAAAAATGATCTTGTCACTTATGCTCCAAGTTCTTCAGTAGACTGTTCTAAGAGTGAGCTCCACGCTAGCCCTTCCCACTTCCCTTCCTAGATGAAAACAAGGTTACTCCAGAGTCAAACAATGTCTGGTTTCAGGTATGTTTGTAATTGTTGGAATATGCAGCAGATGTCAGTTTAGACAAGCTTCCAGCCTGTGGATGGAGGTAGGCTCTCAGTCTAACAATCTGCAGTTTTACTGGAGTTTGAGCACAGGATTGCCTGCACTGGGCTCTGGGAGAGATGTGAACCATTAGGGCTTAACTGTTCAGTAATAAATTATAGGTGAATAGAACATGACAGTGGCATGAAAATTAAGATTTTAAACAATCTTTATGATAGAAGACCAGGTGTAAAAATTTACCTGTATTTAATTCTGAGCTATTTTTCATCTCTGTGAGATGTTGAAGTGGGCTAGTTCTGCCATTCTTCCTCTGACACAGGTTTTTTGCACCATTTTCTCTTCCATAACTGAGGCATGCAGAGCTCTGGGGTTTGATGTTTGAGAAAAAAAGTAAATCAGGGCTGCTCTAGGCTGGCACTGGTCAGCAAGGGCAAGAGGAGGAGGGTTTGAGCTGGTGCCCCTTCCTGTCACAGCTCTGCAGGACATCGCTGTCCTGCAGCTGAGGAAGGGCAGAGGTTGGCTCAGGGCTCACCTTCAGTGCAAAGTTACTTTCCTAATGGGTATTTTTTTTTGCAGCCACTAAGATGTTACCTAGTTACCAGCAAATCACAGCCTGGTAACTGCTCAGAGAATCTGGGGTTTATTTATGGCAGAGTAAGTGACCCTGGATAAGCCAGGCTGGGGACACTTGGGCTGCCCAACAACAGGGTGAGGCTCACACAACATTTATTTGAAGTGTTAAGAGGAAAACTGCAGTACGAAGTTAATTACGATTAGTCTTGACAACACTAATTCTATTTAAAATGTGTTGAACTGGTTTAAAATTAAACTTCAGGTTCCCTCCAGCTGAAACCCAGCCTGAAGCTGTTGAAGCCTGCGTCGTCCATCCCGTGCCGGATTTTCTCATTTGGGAGGAAGATTACTATTAATAGACCAGAAGTGGGGTATTAAAAAAAAAAAAAAAAAAAAAGGAAAAAGTGAGATTATCCAATTCTGCAAATGTTTGTTTATTCCCTTGCTTCAGTTTTGTCCCAAGTTTAGCTTCCTGACGGGGCTTAATCCTCCCCTTTTGTGGCTCTGGACCATCCATCCCTCCTGTCTCCCCCAGTGCTGGCTAAGAGGGGTTGCTAAGCGACATGTTCTTCTCTTCTGTACTGTAGCAGAGAGGAACAGATCAAAGACACCCACAGTCCTGAATTATTTTATAAATGAATTTAAAGAGACACTCTCCTGTGCAGTATTATGTGGGGGGAGAACAAAAGTTACTGGCTACACTGAGAGTATATGGAGAATTAAACTGATGTCTTCTGGAAAATGAGAATGCTCTCATAAATGAGAGCTGTGTAGTATTTACTTTTTTGTTTTTTGTTTTTTCAGAGCTAGATTAGAAATTTTTTATGTTAATTAATGTTTCTAGTTTCCTAGTTTCATGGCAGTCAAGACATTGAACACAGGCCAGGCTGCATGTGTGTACAACTTTCAGAAGTCAGAGTTTCTGTCATTGAGTGACAAGCTTGCAGGGTTTTAAATCTTTTCATCCCTTGCAAAAGAGTTACCATTATGGAAAACCACTTAATTCTTTAATTTTTAAATATTTTCCTGATTGATGCCAGGCAAGAAAGTCACAGGGTGAAGTTCAAGTGATATATATCTTTGAAAGAATAAATGAAGATGAGGAAGTAATCTGTGTAGATCAGGCAGAAAACACACGACACCAACATCTCAGACCTTGCTGAAAGAACGAAAACCAAATGAATAACCTGTAATTACAAAACCTGGGAATACACAAGTTTAAACGTTACCTCTTAGGAGACAAGCACTTTCCTGGCACGAGTTCAGCTCTGCTGCTCTGTGCAGGCTGGGAGGTTTGTAGGAGCATGCTGGCAGCCGAGGCAGGCGCTCGCTGGAACAGAAAAGGGCGGAATTATCTGCCCTCGGATCTACTCGGTTTCAAACAGTGTCGTAAAAGGAAAAAAACAGCACTTGGTAACAAAGTGCAAGAGTTTTTCAGGACTTTCATTTCCAAAGATGCCACGGCTGGCACAGCCTTCAGAAAAAGGAGAGGCACACAAAAACCACACTTGAAGAACTACCCAGGCAAGCAGGACAGAGCATTTATGTAGAAAGCAAAACTCCCGGCTCAGATGGCTGCAAAAAAATTGGATGCAAAACTCTTCCCACGTGCAAATCTCATTGTTCTGTACCAGCCACCTGAGCAGCACAAACAAATCACAGAATCACAGAATACGCTGGGTTGGAAGGGACCCACAAGGATCATCCAGTCCAGCCCCTGGCCCTGTACACACATCCTAACAATCCCACCCTGTCCCTGAGAGCCTTGTCCAAACCCTCCTGGAGCTCTGGCAGCCTTGGGGCTGTGCCCACTGCCCTGGGGAGCCTGTTCAGTGCCAACCACCCTCTGGGGGAAGAACCTTTCCCTGAGATCCAACCCTGAGCCTGCCCTGACACAGCTTCAGGCCATTCCCTTGTGAGGAGGGGAAGAGGAGGGGCAGACACTGATCTCTGTCTGTGGGGACCAGTGACAGGATCCAAGGGAATGGAAGGTGGGAGGTGTATGGAGAGGATCTCACTCTCTTCCCTGTCTGTCTGGTCACAGAGCAGACTGATCTCCTCACTCTCACCCAAGGCCAGTGACCTCACATCAAATTGAGGGTAGATTAGTGAAACCTAATACTCTCTAGGACTATAAAGAGATTACTCGCACATAAATCTTCACCAAAAAAATAAATCTGTGTTAGTATTTATTTACATGCATTTTATTTTTCAAGAGAAAACAAGCCTCCCTTTTTTTCCTGCATCAATAAAAGTGTCTTCAAAATTCTGATTGCTTAGATTTGGCATGTAAAATCCACTGTACTACAGGTAACCTACATTCTTGTAAAAGCACGTATTTTAGAACAGGGCTCAGCCAGCTTTTCCATTTCTAGATATCAATTACACAGGCAAGATATGTGCTTTACTCTCACTGACAAGAGTGTTTTATGTATAAACATCTCGACCAGCACTGTGTTGTCAGTGGATAGCAGATTCGGTGTGTTTTGGCCGAATTTCTGAAGGGGGAAACTGTGACTTGCACTCTAAATATTTTTTCTGGAGAATGGATTCCTCAGCACACTATGAGCATCTTGTACAGAATACAAGTAAACATTTGGGAAGGAATTTCATGCTTATGGCAGGTACTGACTTGCCAGCCTTGAAACTGAGCTCCCTGGGACCCAGGGCACGAGCACAGCTCTGGCTCTGTGAGCTCCACAGGCCAGCTGAGTTCCCATCACTCCCGCTGCACCAGCGAGGGAAGAACCATCAAATCCCAGAACGGATTGGTTTGGAAGGGACCTTAAAAATCAGCTAGTACCATCCCCCTGCCATGGGCAGGGGCACCTTCCACTATCCCAGGTTGCTCCAAGCTTTGTCCAACCTGGCCTTGGACACTTCCAGGGATGGGGCAGCCACAGCTGCTCTGGGCAATCTGTGCCAGGGCCTCCCCACCCTCACAGCCAAGAATTTCTTCCTAATATCTAACCTAATCCTACTCTCTGTCAGCCTGAAGCCATTCCCCTTGTTCTATCACCCCAGGCCCTTAAAAATAGTCTCTCTCCATCTTTCTTGTTGGCTCCCTTCATGTACTGGAAGGCCACAATTTGGTCACCCCAAAGCTTTCTGTTCTCCAGGATGAACAATCCCAGTTCTCCCATCCTTCCCTCCCAGCAGAGCTGCTCCATCCCTCTCATCATCTTGGTGGCCTCCTCCAGACTGGCTCCAACAGCTCCACGTCCTCCCTGTGCAGGGCACACAGCAGGACCTGCATTTCTGGCAAGTTTATTCAAACATCCTGAGCACGCTGTGTTTGGGAGCGCAGTTTGATCATGCTGGTACTTTACCTCAAAGGTAAAATGTTCTGAAGTGGTGTTGCTGTAAGAATTTTAGTTAATTTGTATTAATATTGGTAGAATTTTGGTTAATGCACGTAAGTAACTTGGAATTGCTGCTCCTCTTCCCTTATTTCCAGAATGCTCCAAGAGCCTCTGCTGCAGTTGGACAGCTGGATCCCAGATGTGAGCAACCAGGTCAGGGTTTGGGTCCAGGAATAGGAGATGATGCTTTTGACACGTGGGAGGGCAGGGAAGGCCTTTGAGAACATTAATAACATTACTTCACATTTCTACAGTGCTTTGCCTGCGCCTGCTTAAAGCTCAACATAGACTATGAGTAATTAGTGATCTGGATGTCTCTGAAATGATCATCAGCAGCATTTAAATCATCATTAAAATACAATTAGCAGCCCTTTGAACGGAACGCTGTCGTTCTGAGCAGTCTAATTGGTGGCTCGTGGGCCAGTTCTGGACAACAGGAGGATTGTCTGCTTCTCCTCTCCTCTAACTGCACCAGCTCAAGGAGCACCCTGTCCCAGGAGGGGCAGCCGTGCCCATGGGATGGACATGGAGAGCCACACTATGTGACAGGAAAGGCACAAAGTATCCCTTGTGCCCAGCCCACTGCTTCGAGAAGTTCGGGTTTTGTGGTCCTCATTTTATCCTGTGTGCTGATTCAAGCAGGCACAGCCCCACAACTTTGTACTTTGCAATTCAAATCCTTTTTTGTTTTTTTTAATACTTGGATTTTAGACTGTGCAGCAAGAGCCATAAGGATGAAACAAGGGCAGTTCATGACAAGACAAATAACTGAGCGATCCACATCTCTGGGTGATGTGCTGGCAGACCAGACTGGAGTGTGATTGGGCAAGAGAAAGAATTCAGTTGCTGTAACAGACTGATAGTGAAGGTCTGGCTTGCATGGTGTTCCCAAACCTGGCATCCCTACTGCACATTTAGGTAGCTAAATCTGTCACTTCCATCCCGGAGATGCTTGTGTTAATTGCGTAAATGCCAACAAAAATGACATGTTTTCAAAGTGTTGGAAGTGTAAATAGCTGCTCTTCTGAAATGGCCACAGTTTATGTATTTTAGCTCAGACGTGCCCTCATGATACCACTTGCAAATGCATCTTATCTGTTATAGTAACTAGCTGTAGTATTCTATTAGTATCTGTTTGTAATACTACTGATGTTTCTGCAAAAAAAGCACTGTAGAATGTACTTTAAATACTGGCTTTTTGTACATCTCACACAACCATTCATCCCTCCAGGGGAACAGCACGCTACTGTTCCAGGTTTTCGAAGAACCAGCGCTGCTGCTCCCCACCAGCTCCCCTTGCCTGCTTCATAATGCCCTTATTATTTATGCTTTTTCTCTTGAAAATTCAAGTTTAGAGCCGAAAATTTTCACGCTTTTGTTCCTTGCAGCGAATCAAAGGCAGCGAGTGGCCCTGATGTAATCTGTGTGGTGTGTGCCGCGGCTGAGCATCCACTGCTGTGAAAGCGCTGCTTGTTCTCTGAAAGGAGGAATTCTTTCAGCCGTCGTCACGGCCCCCTCCTCCGCCCGCCTGCTTTTCCCAGGCACTCCGAGAGGACTCGCTCCCGGTCTTTTCCTTGCCCTCAAAATGTGCCGGAGCAACACAGTCATTTACCCCACACTTGCCCAAGGCTGAACTCCTGATGGCTTGGCCTCTGTGGGTGATCAAAAGTTTCAAGTTTGAGAGTAGCAATGGCTCTAGCTGAGGTGTGACATCTTTTTAATCATCTTTTCTTCGGATTGGTAGTCCAATAGTAGCCCAGCTCATCTCCACATGGGCACCACAGCAGGCTATCAGAGAAGTTCTTTTCTCTTCCTCTGCTGTTCCTGTAGTAAGTGACGTGCTTTCACATACGTCCTGCCTACAAAAGATGTCAGTGTTGGCCTGGCATGTTTCACTATGATTTGAGTGGCCTGAAGAAATTACTTGGAAAGCAGCAGATGCCTTCAGAAAAGAGGGAAAGAGGAAAAAAACCCAGACTCAAAGAGGAGAAGAGGAGAAAAAGGAGGCTCAGGGGAGACCTTATTGCTCTCTACGGCTATCTGAAAGGATGTGGGTGTTGGGCTCTTCTTCAGGTAACATGCAATAAGTCAAGGGAAATGGCCTCAAGTTGTGCCAAGGATGCTCTAAGTTGGATGTGAGGAAAAATTTCATCACCAAAAGAGTGGTTAAGCATTGCAACAGGCTCTCCAGGGAAGTGGTGGAGTCACCATCCCTGGAAGTGATTTAAAAAAAACAATGCAGATGTGGCACTTGGCGTGTGATTTAGTGGCCTTGGTGAGATCTGGCTCAAGGTTGGACTTGGTGGTCTTGAAAGTCTTTTCCAATCGTAGTGATTCTATGATTCTATGATATTAACAAGTCAACTGGCCCAAGGAAATAGAAGTGCAACTCAGTGATGGTTGCCAACAAGCAGTCCTGTAAAACCCACCCAGGAAGATAATGCAACTCCTCATGATCCTGCTCCTGTGGTGTTCCATCTTCTCTCCCTCTCTCTGCATTCCCCATTCCATAAAAGAAATGTGCATTGCTTCCCAGTTCATTCAAACACAAGGCTCCCTAAATCAGCTTTTTTCAAGCACATAAAATATGTATTGTCTCAGGAGGAACAAGAGACCAGACAGTCAAAAATGTGCCGTGGGGTTTGTCAGAGCCACAGCTCAGAACAGGTGCTCCAGGGGAGTTGATCACCAGTGTTTCACACAGGTAATTGTTAACAACACCCAGATAACTGCCTGTGGGATAACGGGCAACACACCAAACCCAGGCTATGAGCCACAACAGGAGAAAGTATTACAAGATGCTCACAGCCAAACTAAGATGCCAAAAGAAAGTCCCAAATAATATGAAGAAACTGAAAAAAGAGTCTTTGTTCCAGCACTGGTGTCTTTGCTGGGCTCCTGCCGCCATGCTGGCCATTTGGATCAACATTCCTTAAGGGAAGTGTTCAGGAAACACATGGAATATGTGACAACTCAGGAGGATTTAGCAGTTTTGGGAAAGAGTAACAGTTCTTAAATATCTCACTGCAATTAACCAAGGGCCAGAAATGTGAGAAAAATCTCTGAAGAATTAATCAGGAATCAACAGCAGTTTGTCTTGACAGCAAAGGCGGACGGATGAAATCAAACAGCTCCCCCCAAAATGGCTGCTGAGTAAGAGTGAAAAACGTAACAAGGAAGAACACCCTCTGGATAAATCTACATTTTGTTGAGGGGAAAAAAAAAGCAAATGCCAGTAGGAAGGGGAAAAAAAAAAGAAAAAAGCCTGTTTCCTGTCTGGTCACCACTGGGCACACATTGGCCTGCAAGGGCAGGGAGAGCAGAGTTCCCAGGTGCCAGGACAGCAGCCCTGGCTCAGAGGGGCAAAGAAGGAGTGGGATTGACTCTTGACTCTCACCAGACACTAAAGGTCCCTTAGGCCAGCTGGTACAAGAGAACAAAACATCAAAACCTCAGTGGACTCCTAGACTGTGTCCAGAGAAGGGCAATGGAGTTGGGGAAGGGTCTGGAGCACCAGGAGTGGCTGAGGGAGCTGGGGGACTCAGCCTGGAGAAAAGGAGGCTCAGGGGGGACCTTCCTGCTCTCTCCAACTCTCTGACAGGAGAGGAAGGATTGACTTTCCTTAACAGAGGGACCAACTGATAACGTTCAACTCTGCTCTTGTCCTGACATGGTTATTCGTTAGTTCTTCCTAATGACTGTTCAGTTCCTTCCTTCTCGGGAGCCACTCCTAATTCTCTTCTGTTCGGGTTGGATAATGAGTCACTGACTTTAATACGAATCACGATTAACCCTTCCCTTACACAGCCAACATCTGGGAACAGTGAAATATGTTGTGTCTTAGTGCTGAGGGAGAAGATTAATGATTCCTGCAGGCTTTCTGCTGCTGGCTGATGAAAAAACACCTTGTTTGCCTTGTGCCTTTGATTAATTGCTCTCTAAGTCTGGCATAGTCTACCTGCTCCCCAGAGTAATTTTGTTTTCCATAAATTTCACTTCTTTTCCATTGTCATTGTCTGGCCAAAGTTTTAGTTTGCGTCAAATAACTTCTGGAAGCACCTTGTTCGCCATTGTGCTTTTCCTCTCTCTTTTCTCTGGGGAGGGAGGGTCATGTTTGTGGCTGGGCAGTTCCACTGAGCCTTCCTGACTCCATGGGAAGAGTCAGGATGGTAACAGCCAGGCTCCTGGGGGCACATGTTCTGGGCTAGTTTCCTTCTTAAACAACAACAAAACAAAACAAAAAAACCCACACAAGTAAATTTATCATCTTTTATTTATAGACGATGTGCCATTCCTGAGACTACTGAGCCTAAAGACCCTGTGAGACTATTAACAACAGAAACTGAATTCTTCTTGACTCAGCTACTGCTCACTCACAGCTTAGGGAATGGCCTGTTTGTGATCAGACTTTGCACTGTTAGAGCACTGAATACACGCAGGCCTGTCAGATCACCTGCTCTTCAGGCACCTAATGTATGGCAATACTTGCTGTTTTGACCAAATTCTGGTGATTTTGGGGATATCTGGATTTCTAAAGATCTTTCTTCTTGATTTGCTTTCCTTCTACTAGCACTGCTGACCTACTATCATATTTGGTGTGTCCTTCAAAGTGTTCTACAGTGTTTTATTATTTTGATGTTATCAAAACACGCCTATGCTGATAGGAGAATCTAAGAGTTCTAAGGCAATGGTAGTCTGGAAAGAGATCAGACTATTTCCATAGGAAACCACACTCTCAGGTTACTGCAAAACCAGATTTTTAGGAAGAAACGTGCACTTCTCATGATTACTTCCACAGCTTTTCTCAGTGTTCTTTATTCCACCATCCCGCTGCTGCACCAGTCGGCCTCGGATGCGCATCCCTGGCGCCCGCGAGCGAGCCAGCCCACTCCTGCTGCACCAGCTATTCCCTGCTGGGAATATTTACTGTGGGTGCCAATCCAGCCTGACTGAAACCTCATTAACAATACGCTTTTTCCTGATTAATAAAATATTAATGTGAACATACAGCATCAGCTGCTTGACATTTTCTGTAGTTTTCCAACACCTGCACAGCACAGAACTGCTCGGGCGCTGTGATATTACCGCAGTGACAAACTTGCAAGCAACTTCTGATGCTTGGGGACAGTCCTCATCTTGGTCTTTTTTAAAAAATAATTTCATCTGGTAAAACTGAAGACAGATAACTCCTCACTTCCTGTGCAGCAAACAGTAGGTTTCTTGCCCAATAATCAATATTTATGCTTATTTATGGGTTTCTTCCCCAACAATTGATACTTATGCTCATTTACCAGTCGTGGCAGCAGTGCAAGCAGTCACTTTAAACGTGTCCAAGGTGGAAAGGCAATCAAAATCATTCAGGGAGGTGATTCTCCCTCTCTACTCTGCACTGGTGTGGCCCCACCTCGGGTCTTGTGTGTAGTTTTAGGTGTGAAAATACAGCAAGGATCTAAAGCTATTAGAGAGCATGCAAAGGAGGGCAACAAAGATGGTGAAGGGTCTGGAGGGGCCATAGGAGGAGCAGCTGAGGGCACTTGGTGTGTTCAGTCTGGAGGAGACGCGGTCACACCTCACTGGGGTCTGCAGTTTCCTCACGAGGGGCAGTGGAGGGTCAGCTCCGATCTCTGCTCTGTGTGAGCAGGGACAGCAACCAGGGAACGGCTGGAGCTGTGTCAGGGCAGGTTTAGGCTGGATATCAGGGAAAGGTTCTTCCCCCAGAGGGTGGTTGGCACTGAACAGGCTCCCCAGGGCAGTGGGCACAGCCCCAAGGCTGCCAGAGCTCCAGGAGGGCTCGGACAACGCTCTCAGGGACAGGGTGGGATTGCCGGCGTGTCCTGTGCAGCGCCAGGGGCTGGACTGGATGGATCCCCGTGGGTCCCTTCCAGCTCAGGATATTCTACGATCTGGCAGCTTTCCCAGCAGCAGCGACCGCTCGGCGGGTGAGGCCGGGCCAGGCCGGCCCATTCGCCGGTCACTGCCGGGTCTGTGCAGAGGGGAAGGCGCTGTGCCCAGGCCGGGCGCGGCCCCGGACCCGACCCGATGCGGGGGCGCTTCTGCCGCCCCGTCACGGCCGGGGGTCTCCGAGCAACAGGTGCCCGGGGCGCCGATCCCCCGGGCCGGGCCCGCCGCGGGGCTGGGGAGGCCCGGAGGCACCGCGGAGTCCCCGCCGGTGCTGCCGCCGCTCCCGCCCCCGGCCCCCTCCCCTTCCCCGCCACTCGCTTCCGCCGCGCTCCCGCGCATGCCCGGGTTATGCAACGGCCGCGGCGGGCGGGCCGGGCCGGGCAGAGCCGCAGGGCAGGGCAGGGGGGCCGTGAGGGGCTGCGGGCACCGGGCACGGGCGGCGGCGCCGAGGCCGCTCCGCTTCCCCGCGCCGCGCTCCCGCCGCGGCCCCGCGCGGTGTGTGAGTGGCAGCGGCGCGGCCGCCAAGTCCCGCCCGTTCCGCTCTCGCTGCCGCAGGCGGCGGCAGCGGCGGGTTGGCTTCCTGCGCGCCCGGCCGCTCCCCCGCCCCCCGGCAGTCGGAGCCGCAGCCGCCCGGATCCCCGAGCCATGGCTCTGTGAGCGCAGCACATGGCGGCCGCGGCAGCCATGAGCCCCCCACTAATCCATACAACTCCCCCCTGATCGGCCACCGACGGCAGCCAGCGCTCCCACCCGGCTCCACCGCTCCCACCGCCCGCCCGCCGCCGCCGCGCCGCCCGGCCCGAGCCCAGACCCCGCTGCCGCCGCCGCCGCCACCGCCGGGCCCCCGCTCGCCTGCCCGCCGCCGCCGCCCGGTCCTCACCATGGGAGTGCAGGGATTCCAGGACTACATCGAGAAGCACTGCCCCAGCGCCGTGGTGCCCGTCGAGCTGCAGAAGCTGGCGCGGGGCAGCCTCGTGGGTGGGGGCCGCCAGCGGCCCCCCCAGACCCCGCTGCGCCTCCTCATCGACGCCGACAACTGCCTGCACCGGCTCTACGGCGGCTTCTACACGGACTGGGTGAGCGGTGGGCAGTGGAACCACATGCTGGGCTACCTGGCGGCCCTGGCCAAGGCCTGCTTCAACGGGAACATCGAGCTCTTCGTCTTCTTCAACGGCGCCCTGGAGAAGGCCCGGCTGCACGAGTGGGTGAAGCGCCAGGGCAACGAGCGCCAGACGGCGCAGCAGATCGTCAGCCACGTCCAGAACAAGGGCACCCCGCCGCCCAAGGTCTGGTTCCTGCCGCCCGTCTGCATGGCGCACTGCATCCGCCTGGCCCTCATCCGCTTCCACATCAAGGTGAGGAGGAGCCCGGGGGTCCCGGCGCCCCCTCCCCGCCGCTCCCGCCCCGGCCGCTCCAAGATGGCAGCGGGGGCTGCCCGCGGGGGAAGGGGGGGGCACCGTCCGCCGCTCCCCTCAGCGCCTCAAAATGTCGCCCGGACCCGCGGGGGCGGCACAACTTTCGGCGGCCTCAATCCCCGGGGGATTCCGGCTGATTTCCAGGGCGCTGCCCGCCGCCCCGCCGAGGCCGGAGGCCGGGAGGCCTCGGCGGGGCGAGCGGCAGCGCCCATGGCCCGGCCCGGCCCGGCAGCAGGGCGGCTTCTGCCTCCATGTTCTTTCGCTCCCTTGACTCAAAATGTCCCTTCTTGCCTTGTGGGCTGTGGTACCGCAGGGGAGAGCGGGTGGGCGAAAAGCATCTCTGTAGTTAATTATTGAGAGTGGTGGGGGGGAAAAAAATAATTAATCAGTTTAGTTCTCGCGCAGGGTGGATCTGCAACAAGTTCCCGGCCGCGGCGAGGTGTTTAAACTTGGGCTGGAGGGGAAATGGCTCGCTGCGAAAAGCACAGAAGTGCAGTTTCGGCTTTACGGAGGTTTTCGTGTTTTGCTCGGTGTTTTCCCGGTATCAACAAGCGTTTCAAATCAGGCGTAGAATAACTCTCACCTCACTCCATAGCAGCAACACTTCCAGTCAGTGCGATCAGCAGCGCCGAGCTGACAGTCCTTCATTTAAACTTCTTATTTTAAGAGGCAGCCCCAGTTTTCCGGCCCTGTAACAGCCCTTCGTGCCGGATCTGGGCTGCATGGCCATCTTGCACTGGAAGGCCACGATTTCAAAGGTTGCAGGATGTGACCACGTTGCATCTCTCCGCACGGCGTTCCTGATTTACGATGGTTTCTGTGCAGCCGAGCGATTGTGTATATTGAAACACAAGACGCTGGAAAAACAAGCCCGGGGATGAAGCTGCAGTTTTAGGAGTTGCCTGCTCGCCTTCCCGCTGGGGAGGGAAGAGCAGTGGGAGGGAAGCACATACTTGTAGGCTTTATTATCCTAAATTACTTTAGTGTGTAGAAAAATATTATGTAACCTTCGGAGTTGCACGCTCGATCACTAGCAGCAGCTTAATGTTCTTTGGCCTTCTGCCGGATTAGAAACGCTCTGGCCGGGCTGCAGCCCTGGGGTACAGATGCCTCTCTGCGAGCAGCTCACCCCAGAGGTGACTTTGGGTGAAGTTTCTCCTAGTTCTGCCAGCGGGGCGGGAGCTGCTGTTGCTCCCTCGTAGTTCCCTGCTCGCGGGGCCAGGCCCGTCCATGGAGGAACGCGGGGCTGGAGTGCAGCCACCCCGGGCTGGCAGCGGGTGTTCGGCGCTGGAAGTCCCACCCTGTTGCCGGGATTGGGTCACCGGGCCGGGGCCACGGCGCGTGTGGAACGAACTGGAAGCGGAGGCGAAGCTCGTTCTCGCAGGGCCCGTCGAGCTGTGCCGAGGGCTCGGCCTTGCTTAAAGTGAGGGGGTGATGGCCGTGTCTGCTGCAGTCGTGTGTTTCCCTGGCCAGCCTAGAAGCAGGATTGTGTTACCGTGTCTTGGATGGTGGGAATTTGCACGACAGCGGAAACATCCTCTCATTTGAACTTTTTGTTTTTTTTTTTTTTTTTTTTCTTGTGGCTAGGAACTACTTTTGTTCTTCGAGCAAAAAGTTTTAGGCCCCATGTGGTGAAGGTCTTTACCTTGATCTGTTTGTGCAGTATAAATCTGCATTATAAATCTTCCTTTTTTTGTTACTGAGACTTAGAGATGATTAGTAAAAGCAATGAATGGGGTGAAATAAGGATGTTGTTTTCTTTTAATGTATTAAAGTGGAGACTTTGTTTAACGCTACACTGAAATGCATAGTACCTGACAGGAAGGCAGCTGGTTTGATATCACTGGGAATGGGGTGTTTGTAGTAGTTTTGTAGCATGTTGAACTGGCAGTTAGTTCGTTAAACACTTTCTTGTCTCAGACCTGGCTCAGGTGTCTTACATCCAAACCAAACTGCCACATTTGACAGTGGTGTCACCTGTAGCACTTTGTTTACTTTCAAGCTTAGCTGCAGCATTAGCTCCTTTATGGTTTCTTGGTAACAGGCCTTATTCCTAATCTCTGGAAGCAGCCATAGGAGGACTCATCATACCGAGTCCCTTTTCTGTAATTAGAAAAATACCCCAAACTCCTCAAATCCCCATAAATACAACATCCTGACAGTTTTGATGGGGAAGGTTTGTGGGGTGGGTATTTGTGTCAGGTTGTTGGCAGCTCATTATTACCAGGTACTGGAGGCGAGGGGGGAAAGTTTGTTGCTGTTCACACCCCTGAGCCACCACCCTGCATGTCCAAACTGTGGGTTCTCCCCACTCTCAGCTGTCCTGGGGATGGGAAGGGTATCAGCAATTCCCGTTTGATGCCTCATTTTTTCAGTTGTTGAGAAACTCTGTGGATAAATCTGGTTTTAATGGATTCTTTTTCAGGTTAGGAAGGATATTGCACGGTTATAGTGGTCACATGCATAATACACATCAAAGATACTGCTGAGCTTAAATCATGTTCCTTCTCTGCTTTTCTTCTTCTCTGACATGATTTATTATCTTTCTAAATCTGCTTTATTGCATATATCTTTCTTTCTCTAAACCTTCTTCCAGTTTTATTCTTGCTCTCACTTTGACATAGCCCTCCTGATGGGCAGAGAGCAGATGCATCTTGAAGGTGTGATTTTTTTATTTGCATGTATGGGTGATTTTAAAAATTTGCATCTGCATAAGACAGTTGTTAAATTGCAATGTTTTCTTGCTTTGTTTTGAGAAGTTGGGTTTGAGAATACTGATTGACTTTAAATATGAACCTGATTTTCATATTTTTAGGAAGCATTTGAGTCTTGAGTAGAAGATTTCTGCGTGAAGCTAAGAACTGCTATGAATTTAATCTATTTTGGTAATTAGAGGGGAGAAAAAGAGTAATGTCTTCCATCCAGAGCAATTATAAATCACTCACAGATGGTTTCAGCAGGATGTAAAAATAACAGGTTCCTCCAGGTTATAACAAATATCCTGCGGGTTCTTAGCTTCGTCGTGACCTGGTATTTTTCAGTTTGGGGGGAATAATTCTTTCAAGAAAACTTTTATGTGAAGTAGGTTTGCTAAAATTTAAATATTTATGCAGTGGAGATCTTAACGTTAATGTTTTGGGGAGACTGTTTTGTTCTCAGTACCTAAAGGTGCTTGTGCCCGCTTACTCAGGCAGGATTCTCTCCTGAGCCAGCGCTGTTAATGTTTACACAAGATTTAGACTTGAAAATGATTCCAAACTCCTGGCTGTGATTTCCCCCGTGTCCCCCCTCCCTGGGTTGGTTTTGAACCCAGGCACATTGCCTGGGTATGTCTGTGTTTGTGAGAGCCACGAGGTATTTCTGACTTTTGTCTAGGTAGAGTTTTATGTTGTGGGTTAACTGTACTTTGGTAAATACAGCTCCTTTCCCTGTGCTGGATCAGTTATTTGAACGTGGATTCTGATATTCCCTGAACAGCCAGCAGTTTCCAGCTCAGTGACACGGGGAGGGACCTGGGGCTCTGGAGGTGGAGGAAGTAGCTCAGAGGAGATCAGAGCAGGCACACCAAGCTTCCTCTTGTGTTATCTGCACCTGTGTCACACCTAGTGCTGCAGAGGAGTTCTCACTTGGTTTTTTTATAGTTCATGGGTGCTTGTCGTGCATGCAGAGAGGTTGGGTTTTGATATATTAATGAAATTGAAATCTATCTACCCTTAATGAAAATAACATTGGAGGGGTTTTTCTAATTTAAAACCTGTGAAGACTGGGGCCTGCAGGTGGGGTGAAGCCTAAGTTGCCCTCCTTTAGTTAGGAACTATGTAAATCTGGTGTCTTTAAATTCCTCCAAAGATGTTTATGGTTTCCCTCACGCCTTGTGCTGGGGACAGCATCATTGTTAGAAAATAAATACCTGTGTTTTTCTCATGAACAAAGTAAATTTCAAAAACACTCCATCGAGGAAGTTTCTGAAGAAGTAACATTTTCTGAAGACTACAAGGTGGTAGGATTAGGAGGAGGGAGAGCTTGGTGAGCTGGTGTTTGATCAGGAATATCACAGGCAAGGCGCTGGCTGTTCTGCTGCTCGGGATTTAACTTGGAAGGGAACGTCTCATGAAGGTGCAAGAGAGAAGCAAAATTTGACATATCTCCCTGGAATACCATAATTCAGCGTCAGGTTCGAGTGCAAGGCATGAGTAGAAGAGTAAGGGTCTCTGTAAACTTGCTGTGGATGGCTGAAGGGCTGCTGGGTAGGGCTGTGGAGTTTGGGACCCTCTCTCCTGTTGTGCAGAGGATATAAATGGCCTGGCTGGCACTAAGGCTGTAGTTATTCATGCGTGCTGTGGAGACTGAGGCTAATAGTTTTGTACTGGTCTATTTTGGGATAGCTTGCTTATCTACAGTGTTGTTCAAATGGAATACTCGGTGAGGGGAGGTTATACCAACACCCAGCTTGCAAGGGGGTTTCCAAATCACTGAGTGTGTGTTATGTGTTATGGTGGAAGCATTAGGGATCCAAAGCCCTCAGCTGGCTGGAGTTGTGTGTGTGCTCACTGGAGTTGTAGCAGTTCCTGACAGTGTGTAGGAATGCAGCACACCCCGGACTG